GGGGGGGGGGCAACAGTAGCCTCGTCCCGCGCAGGCGGAGCACGGCAGCGATCCTACCCGATTCCTACAACGCCATGAGCTTGTGACTTGGGGCACCGGGCGGTCTGAGCGGTTCAGAGCTTGGAGGGGATCTCAGCTTTCAATCCCCTTGGGGATCCAGTCGTAGCTTCTCAGGTACGGTGATTGGAGACACTGTTATGTAGCTTTGGAGGGTCCAAGGTACTTGGATCCCTGTATTGTAAACAAAAACACAATTTGGGGTTGGTACTATAGGCATGAATTAGTATATAATGACATGGTAGCAAATCAGCAAATCCCAATTTCGTTGATTGCACCATGCAAGAGAGCTTCAAAGTCTATACTAATCATAATGGCCATGCCCGGTGGTACCAGGGAGGCATTCGGGACACCCATCTAAACAAGAACTGTTTGAAAGTTTGGTTACCTTTTCCATCCAGAGGCTCATGGACCCGAACCAACTAGCTACTGTATGTGTTGGTCTAAACCCCTAGGCCCACAAGAAGTGGTCAAAACTGTAGCTCAGTTGGATTGCAATGAAACACTCTCTTGACGGTATCTCTGATCTATTGTGCTACCCAGACGCTCTGTTCACAGCCCGACTGGTCCCTCAAAACCGGATTGGTTCGACTCCAGACCCCTCCATATACTCCAGACCCCTCCACATGAGGGCCCAGGGTCGCATGTTGGGTATCCCTCATTTTGCTCGATCGTTCACTGAGGGTCCTCCATTCGCCTTGCCCAACCAATTGGGTGGTTCCGTCGGAAGTGAGTGGAGTGAACAACCACACCGGTCTCGTGTGGACACGAAGGTCGAACGCTTCGATCGTCTGTGGTGCCCATCCCATCCACGTCGTTTTCTGGAAAATTCGATTCCAAGAGACGTCTCACCCTGGTACCACCGTGGTTTTTGAAGGAACCGGCACCGGGTTCTCCCCGCATGGGAACCCCAGCGGGGCTTCGCCTCCGTCGCACCGGCTCCGTCCGGCCGAACCGGGTGCCGTCCAGGTTCGGCACCACCGACCCCGCGCACGTCGAGAACGTCGAAGATGCGGTGCAAGCCGTGGGCACAGGCGCCGGTGGAGTACGTCGCATGGGGAACCCGTGACCGGGCGGTATCCGTGGTGCCATGGTGAAACGGTGTTGGGGGGTGGTGAAGATCGAAAGGAGATCGTGACTGGATGAGTTGATCGATAATCGATTGGTTTTTCAGAAGTTTCACCTGCACCATGGTCCTTTCAGAGATCCAGATTCCGGGGGTGAACTGTGATCTTGGAACTTGCAAGAGCCATGGTTTGAAACCGTGAGTGTGAAAGAAATCTCATCTTACCCTGCCCACACTGGCAATTTGGATATTGAACAACATGGCAATTAAAATTACTGTATGATTCATGATGATTCTGATTCTATACTGAATTACAACGCACATTTGGACAAAAAAAACATAGCTCTTTGTCCACTAGTTGGCGCGTCTCGCCAGTGTGATACGCCAATCTAGCAGAGGGAGTTCCAGAATTGTTGCAGGGGCATGTACTTAAGCCATGTTTTTGAATAGAATGTGTCCCTAGGGCATGTAGAGTTCCGGAAATCACCTTTTGGGTCTTCCTACTCAGACTCTGGAACCAGCGTGTTTTCCCACGCGGCAGGTGAGTCGGAGGTCTTGAGCAACTTGAGTTCCATCAGCGATGAGGAGGACGAGGATGGACCATCAGGGCGGCCATGGAGGGGAGGCCTTGGCGGACGCTGCAGAACAAAGGTCTGAGCTGGAAAACACACACCGGTGGAAATCACCGGTGTTGTCTATAGAGTGAGTACAAATCCCTACAGCTCCAACCACCTTCTCAGAAGGTAGTTAGACCCCTCAAACCCACCCCAACCACCTTCGAAACGGAGGTGGTGCCCTGAAACATTTCACATCATTTCACAAGTTGCTTCGGTGTTGAGTGAAGATTCACACGATTTCTTCAAGCACTTCTAGCATTCTACCCCGATCAGATCCCTATAGGTATAGGTTTTGGGTTTTCACTGGCGCACTGGCGCACTCGTTTTGGTCTCCAAAGAAATCAAGAACCAGATAATCAGACCCAAGATTTTTCACCTGAAGGGACATAATAGTTGGTCAGTCCCCATAGATTCATAAATGTACATTCTTTATTTCGACTCTGAATCCTCCCCCAGATATGGAGCGCAACACTGGAAACCGCCGGGAGACCGTTTCTCGACGCTGGAGACGACGCCCAAAGGAAAGGGGCGGCTGGGGGTGCCCTTATGACGCCTACTTGGTTAGCGGATAAGATGTCATATGAGTCATGTATGAGTCATATGTCCTCACAAAAATGCATAATCAGGTTTGTACTTATGGGTTCAAGTGTTTAGTTCCCTTATGGGTAGAGTTGCATCACAGTGCTAAGAGAAGAGACGCTGTCACCCTGGGACTCCAACTAACTCCGTTTCGGTTCCCTACTTTCTGAGGATGTGGGCCAGGAGTCCTAGGGTCAGACAGATGTTCTTAAATTCCTACACATAGCGTCTCATCAAGTCCCAGATGTTTATGTATGTTTCTGTACATCTCACTTGTTGGTGCACCTGTCATCCACAGCTTCATGATTGTGGATCAAGCCGCGCACAGTGTATTCAAACAATCAGCTCCTTGCACATATCACATCAAATACATTTCCAGCTTTGTTTTGGAGATTTATTATTGTTTTATCTTGTCTTGGGAGTAACCAGCTAAGCACTCTTTTGAGTGAAGCGGACTGAGCGGACTGAGTGGACTTTCTGAGTGGGGCGGTTCTTGAGGCCTGGCCGGTGGAGGTTGCAGCGCCATGTTCCAGCCAAGTTTCCTCTCACCAGTTCGGCGATTACACTCCCTGCTTTTGTAGAATAGAGACGACCTTTTGATACAACGCCCAAGAAACCAAACAGTATGGAATCTATCCCAAACACTGAATAAAACTGGCATATCTACCCACATTGATTCATACCAGTCCGGAGTGTTTGGGTATATGATGGAAGGTGCCTTGAAATCGAAAGCTCAAGCTGCCTCCAGGAGAGCTTTGAGGAGGCATGACGGCCACACGCCGGCTAGCTTTAAGCTGCGAGCACTGCCAGAATGACGAACAGGGGCCTTTTAGAAAGCAGGTAGTGGTGTCGGAGATTGATTCCCATGGCACTGGGATAGTTCTATGTTTCAACATATTTCAACCTTTTACATGGGATAATGTTTCATCCACTTAGAACTTAGTACTGTAATATTTCTTCAAGTGAGTTGAAACCACCAGAAAGGTGTATGACCTCGCTTTACTTTTAGGCTTCGAGTGTAAACCCACAGTCCCGAAGACTGCAGGAGATCGTCCCTCCTTCCAAAGGGACAAACCGGTCGGTGTCCCTATTTGAGCTACACTTCCATGTGATGTCTTCGTTTGTATTGGCAGACGAAGATGTCCCAGACACAACTGATGGGATTCTCAATCGCCCCAGAAACACCGAAATCAACCACCCGTAAGGCTTTCCATAGTGCCATAGATGGAGTGTTTACAGGTGAACCGCCGCTTGGCTTTAGAGTTCGTCTGGTGGCTCTTCTAGGCGTGAAAAGTCTTTGATTCTGAATTTGCTGGCGTCACAGGATATATATTATATATCCCAGACACTCCATGGGACTGCCATAGGACTGCCGATCAGTTGGGGTGGTACCAGAGGGGTCAATGGGGCGGCATATATGGCAGTCCCATGGTGTGTCTGGGTATGTATACACACAATGCTTTCTAACTTACTGTTTGTTTCATGTTGAGTGGTGCTCGGGCTCAAAGGTTTATCACTTTGTGTAGAGGACTTGCTGGATGGGCGCACCAGCAATCACCAGCAATCATGAGCAAAGCGTCGGCGCCTCCGTCCAGTGCATCCGGCCACTTGTACAGGTCCACTGAGTGTGGGCGATCACAGCTGATCCAGCGTCTACCGCCATGAGACGTAGCAGTGTGGGTGAAGCTGAAGGATCACACCACCGACGGGACTAATTATGTTGCTTCGGAATTCATGGTCCTATGTCTGCCTTTTGGGGCGCCATCCACGTAACCATCCCCAGGGCTCCAGTCGTATCTTCGTTTCGAAGGAGTTTGGGATGGGTGCCAGGTCCAGTCATACCGAACCTGAGGAGGTACGACTGGAGCCCAAAACGGGCATGATCATTTCAGGTAGTCTAGCGGAATCCAGTGTTTTCTTATATATGAGTGTCTGAGATGGAGCCTTCACAGGCGACCTGGGTTTCTTTCCGATTTTGATTTATGTTTGCAGGGCTTGACAGTTTTCACTGGTGTGGAAGCAGCCCTAGCCCACCTGCACTTCTCGCTGTGGCGACCTTCGACTGATGCTTCGCCCTGCGGCCAACGACCAAACAAAACCAACAACCCGCGCGGGGCGCTCGTGGCGTGTGGTGTTTGTGGCGAGCGGGAGTTGCCCTTCCGTGAGGGTCGTGGGTCATGCGCAGCTTGGACCTTTGCACCGACGAAGGACGACCAAAAGTGACGAGCCAGAAATGACTAGGGAAGGTTTTCTGCACCAGAATAGACGCCCAACCTCTCAAAGATACAATGCGTTTGCTTCTTGGACAGCCCCTGACAGCCCAGGACAGCTAGGTTGCAGATGTCCATGACTTGACCAGGACTTCTTGTATGTTCAGCAGACAAATCTTGGAAATAGCCTGGGTTGGGTCCTGGCCATGCGAGATCGCGAGAGCTCCCGTGCCTTCGATGTTGTGAGGCACAGCCCAAGCCCTTGTCGAATTCGAACGACCATGGATTCCATGAACACTTGCCTAACGACCAGTGATTTGACTGCCCGGGCCCTCGACTATATCTCCCTTCCTTCCCGGGTGGATCCAGGGTGGGTGGATCCAGTGGTGGCCTGCCATCTAAGGGGCCGACCCTGCGGGGTCTCCTTAACTAACAAAGCATAACAAAGCCTAACAAAGCCTCGTGGGTCACCAAAACCGGCCTTTTTCTTCTTCAGCTTCTTCCGGCTCGTTCCGATCGCCACGCCATGGCGCGGGCGTCGCCAGCGGTCGCGCGGTTCGGCCGAGCCATTGCTGGTTAGGCGGTCTCCCGCGGGTTGCGACGAGCGGTGGCGGGCGAGCGGGCGGGGGGGCAGTGGGAGGTGGTGGAGTTGATGAGGTCCAGTCAGGAAAGGTTGGAGTCCAATGAGTTTCCGTGATCGGATCTTGCCTTTTTGCGGGTGAACAAGCTGCGGTGATGTGACATCTTTCCCGGATGGAAGTGGACCGGCATTTTTGATGTGATTGGTCCGGTTCCTGGACAGCAAGCCAGCGATCTATAGTACTATACCATACTATTCCTCTCTTTTGGTATGCTTTAGACCCTTATGTGGCCCCTTGGGTTCATTAGGGATTTACGACTCAACCCCTAGTTTGCTTAAGCCCTCAAGCAGAAGATTTGTTCAGACCGGCAAGAGGAGAATAGGATCCACTATTTATGTGTATATAAGAGTCTGACTCCTACTACAGCTGTCCTAGCATGGGTCCTACCAGAGCTTTTTTCTCCATCACTAATGATGGCGTGTAGTGAGTAGGCTGCTGGGATATGGAAACTCTTCCCCTGCGTGTGTTTTGCTTCGGTATACGACCGGACGCATGTCTCACGAGTCACCAGTCACCGTGTGATGGGACCTTGATGGACCTTGGCTTGGGAGAAGAGACCATCTTCGGCACGTCATGTATCTAACAGAGCCACTGGGCGGATTGATGTTTGGCGGTGCGGAACTCACCTGGAGGAACTGGGCGCAGGAGGACGTGGACACCGGAAGCTTCCGCGTGTAGGGATCATTCGTCGTCCAAGGGACCGTCTCCACATCCTTGTCCATTGTACCATGTTCACATGATACTCTCCCTAGAACTATATAACATGGAAGTGGAAAACCACCTGTTTGTAGTGGAAAATAGTCTTCCAAGGAGACATTCTCCACTTTCATGTTAGTTCTAGGGAGCGTACCCTATATATTCTATAGACGGTGTCTTGCCAATACAGAAATCACCCGACGGTGCAGCACTGATCTTGGACGGCCATAGTATCGCGCATACCAAGAGAGGTTAAGTGACCGGAACAAGGTCCCTACTGAGCTACCTATATGGTATAGTCTATTATAGTCTAATTATAGGGCTCTTCAACCTCCGTTGGTAGGTTACCTGATGTGTCAAAGTCTGAGTCAAAGTCCTGGCCCGGACGCGCTTTTGAGCGCGAGTGGCGAAGTCCTTGGGGCCTCCATAGCAGGGGTCTGGACCTGAAACCAAACCCAATGATGTGTTACTTCGAGCCCAGATTCTATAGGGTAAGAAGAATGGAACATGATTCAACAACCTGGATCCGACTTCAAGTACTACGAACATCTACGAATTGAGACTCCAGGAAGTAATATGTTGCTCAACAGTTCAGGGGCCCTGTCGCAACCAGGTGCGCAGGATTCATGTCCGATTTGATCTGAACATTGCTTGTACATGAGAATTGTTTTTGAACAAAAGAGAGGCGGATGATGGAGGACTTGCAGGCCTTTTCGACTCTTGGACTATATATCGAGAAGTTGGGTGTGCGGGACAACCTAGTAAGATTTTGGGGATTGGTTTTCTCTCTAAACAAGGACGAGTGGAAAACACTTATATAATAACGTCTATTTTCAGAACAACTGAAGGAGTTAGGCAATGCATGTCCGCTCCTGTATGCCGGACCCCGTTGGAAACGGGGTCAAGAACCACCTCTTGGGAAGACTGTCCACCATCCTGAAAAGTCTGTCCGTCCTCCTTGTCTTCCTCCGCAGAGACAATTGGGACAATCAAACCTAGAACCCACTGGACCTTTGCTTTGGAGCCCCAACATGGTGTTGTCCTTTCAAACGATTTTGAACCAGTGGTCTCACGAATGCGAGAGAGACTCCGAACTCGACAAAGCTAAAAAACCCACCACTGGGCTTCATTAGCTCCAGCTTCCGGACCACTTCTGGGTCATGCAGGTTCAGAGATCTAGAATATACATACCAACACCAGTCACCAAGTCTGCTGCTACCAGCTACATCTGTCGTCTCCGCTGCCTAGACACCCTCACAAGGGCCTCAAAACGGCCTCGCCTGGGTCCTGGTTTTGCTGTTCACCATGGGTGAATCCCCTTCTGGGGAAGATCTATTGGTTCCACCGGTTCCTCAAGCAAATCCAAGGATGTTGTTTTGACACCTGGAGCCACCACCAGAAGTTAGCGTTTGTAGAGGTGCTGACCTCTTCAGAGCAGCGCCACCTGAGGAAAGCCAGCCAGTGGCAGCTGGCACTGGGCGTCAGCTGGCACTTGGGTGCCATCCTCGGAAACGCTGGTGGGTAGAACATGCAGAGCTTTTTTTTGGCCCTCTAAAGGAGGTGTGACCTCTTAATAGGCTAATGAACATTCAATGATCCCTAGGGCTCCTGGCCCATCTCCGTGAGGTTCGGTGGGGGGTAGGGGTGGGTGGATGCCAGGGGGGTCTAACCACCGGTCACCTGAGGAGATGGGCCAGGAGCTCTAGGGGATGTTATTCATCAAGAGTCTACAGTACCCATCATCCATCCAGATATTGGCCGATCGACGTTCCATCTAAAGAGAATTTCTGCGGAACTCCGGAGTTATCCGGAGGAGTGTTAGGAGATCCAACCCAGGAAGTACGGGGATAACTTGTCTTAATAACCTTTTTAGGGGGATTTGGGGAGCAGGTTAACCTGTGTTTTCCAGGGGAACCGGGGGTCAGGCATAGCTACCATAGTCTTAGTTTCAACATAATATTGGGTTTCTTCCTGGAATGGACAAACTGTTGCACAAACATTCACATATATTATATTACATTATATACATCGTAGCTTAGATGCCCTTCTACCAGTGGTTGGTTGGATAATACATACATAAAATACCCATGGACACCTCAAGTGTTCAACTTACAACCAAATGGTACATGATACCAAAGGGTGTGAAAAGGACATCATTGGTGTATATAACAATGTGGGCAATGCCAGATTGCCCAGAAACCCAGGACCTCTGGGCTGCTTTGGAGGGCCAGATGGGCACCGTACACCAGGAAACGGTTTTCGGTGGTCATCAAAAGCAATCCTTGCTGTAGCGACAAGCATGTGCATGTGTGACTGACCACGGCCCAGGACATCCCCTGTCCCCGAGAACTGGACGAGTCCAGCACATGTTTCACCCAACTCAAACCCGAACTGGATCCACGGGCACCCTCGAAATCGGATCTCGGTGATGTGATGGACACATATACACAGGCATGGAGGGTCCAAGTCACCCTCTGAGAACAATCCCTATAGGGTTTAGAAAGTGGTTTATATAGACCCCTTACTTTGTGCCGTTGTGACACGGCATCCATGACCAAACTTTGACGATATAACATGACGAAACGGGTAATGGGGCTAGTTCGGGAAAACCATAGGCCCAGACATGACGTTGTAATTGTATGTATGTAAAATCCATGTGTAGGTGACCTGAATTTATTGTATGGACTTGTCACGGTCTAGGCAGAGTCGGACAAGGTGAAGTGCAGGGTCAATTTCTTAAAATGAAATATTCTTGGCACCCCAAATCCAGAAATCTGAAGAAACCCAGCTTTAAACAAATGGGCTCCTCATGCATCAAACAGACAGTTGATCAGTGTATCAAAGACAATCCTGTTTGGTCATTTTATAAAACGCAGACTTGCGCGTGTTCATTGGCGGAGACATGTGGTGTGGAGATGTGGCTCAGATTGTCTTTTCCTTTTTCACACCCTCACAGCTCAAACTATAAACCTGGGATTTGTGACTCGATTTGGCTATGTAATGTTGCCTCATTTTATGAAACACATTACTCTTTTCACCTATTTATCATGAAGCATCATTCTATAATTGTAGAGCGCTGATTGCCCTAACAGGACGCTCATGATCTGAGATTTGATGTCCATGTAATAATGTTACAAAAGCATTGGTATTGTCATTTTATAGTGTTTTATCCTGTGCAGACCATTTTATAGTCACTTCTTTTTATGAAATGACTGAACCACAGGCCCCTTGAGTAAGTAAGGGAGATGTTTATATATAATTATATATATATATGTTGGCCACGAGAAACTGAGCAGGGCATACATCGAAGCCATCGAAGGGTGACAAAGTCTGTCGCTTACATCGCATCATCGGAACGTGACGAGATCGGCATTGCAGAATCGGGATCTTCCGGTGGTATTCGTCAGGGTGCAATTTTTGGCGAGATGCTACCGCCATGCAGATCTACAATATATATATATATATCACTGGCAGATGATCAGACCAATATGACCAACCAAACCCATGATATCCCATGGTTTTTGTCTTGGTTGAACGATGCTCATAGATTCTACGGCTTGCTTCGCGCTGAACGGAATGAAGAAAGGGAGAGAGAGAGAGAGAGACAGACAGAAGCTCCGTGAAGCAGAAAGTAGCCACGCATGGAAATTTCCGGTCCGTTCACAGATCGCAAAGGCAAGCTAGCGTGAGTGGCGACAATCCGCAACAAATCAGAAAAGTTTATACAGCACCCCTTCAGTTCCAGAGACTCCGTGCAGGTTCGCCTTGTGCAAGGGTTCGCCTTGTGCGAGTGGAACTCTTGGCCACCCTGTCGTTGAGACGTGTCCGTGTAAAGCAGCCATCAAGTCGTTTGCGTCGAGGCAGATAGTATACACGTACTTATATATAATATATATATATATATCATGTGCTGCCACTTGCTAGGAGAAGACTTTATGCTGCTAGAGGATCACTTTCCCATTCATGGCCTTGATGATAGTGCTTCATCGCGTTGTCTTGTTCGACTTGGCGCTGTGCTTGGCATTGAGAAGGCGTGGCCAAACTCAGCGCTTACACCTATGGCTTGCTCTTACGCGCACTGACGAAAGGCCTGATCGGGGTCCGGACCCGGATGGTGGCACAGCAGATCTCACACCCACTCCACCTTGACGAGCTACGCCCTTAAAAGGCCATACCCAAGCCAGTGGATCCCAGGGGCTTACAGTCGTTGGAGCCACTCCCTTCCAGCTATGGTAACTGGATCCATTGGGCAATGTATCCAAAGAACATATTCGTTGCCAGCATTGACCTCATTCACCAATGGCACCGGCTCCTCCAAGTGGAAGTGTTTGGGAGTTGACGGATCCCTCCGGACACCCCACGATGTTCCAAACTAAGTGGGCATATATTGGAGGACGTGTAGTAGGACATGTTTCTGACAAAACCGAAGATTCTGAGAGACAAACTGTTTTTGTATATATGTTTGGTCCATGTCTTTGCCTTTAGTAAACTTCGTTGCTTGGGTCGGAGTTTCTACGCGCGGTTCCTCCGCGTCAACGACGCCTGGCCTGCTTTTAGAGGTGTCCAATGGACGATTGCGCTGGAGGTCCTGGACACGATGCCCCACGCACAGGTCGGGGGCGCCAAGTGAGGTGTGGTTGAAATTCAGTCCAAAGGGCAGGACCTGGATTGCCTTTATTTTTTTACAAATCGTTTGTTGATTGCATTTAGAAAATTTAGCAAACAAACAAACACATTTTGGCACAGACATGTAGCATGTGGATTTTTTTTCATGCAACATTGAATGCTGAATTGATCTCTTAAAACAACGGATCCAAACGCATCCCAATTTCTTTGGCACCGAGAAAAACTCAGTCATTGAATGGGGGTTTGAAGATGTTGAAGGGTTTCGTTCACATGTTTGTTTGTTTTTTTCGGCATGGTTCCTATCCCCTCCCTGGACCATCCTGTCGGGGTGTCCTGGCTGGACGGCTTCCAGACAGGGCACCTGGACCGGATGGTCCAGGTAGGCAAGGACAGAGGGTCCAGTCGTACCTTTTGAGAGGGTGGATCCTTAGGATCCTTAGGTAGCCCCGATGCATCCCGATGGTTGAGGCATTGACGACGTGGTTCGAACGCCTGGTCCGGTCCGTGAAGCACATTTTCCAATCCCATCGGAGTCTGCCCGTGTGGCCCGTCTGGCCCGTTGGCTTCCAACCACCCATTGATTGATATAATAGCCTGTATACATGCCGAGCCACCGAGCCACCTTTGTTTTACTTACAAAGGTTTTTTACTTTACACAACGCCATGGTCAACCATTCGTTTAATCGTCTTGGAAGTCTAGGCTTAGAGAACTGTGGACTTGCTACCCTTGGACCTGTTGAGATGTGGTATTGCAAAATCGCACTGACCTTGCAAACATATGGGCAGTGTTTCGCGCTCCCCAAGTAGGGCCAAGTAAGCACAAAATCCATTTGTGCTCTCACAGACCGTCGACAGGTTCAACCCAACCTCATCATCTTCAACTCAGCCATTGCCTGCTGTTCGGCCGGAGCGGCTTGGCCTCATGCCCTACGCTTGCTGCAGGCGAGAGTTTCTCGCGTCGACTCTCGCTTGCTCGACTCGGAGATCGACGACTGCCCGGCCAGGGGGTGTTGATGTTGGACAAAAATGACTTCGAGCTATTTCAGGCCACATGTTCAGGGTCCATGTTAATCTGCAGAAGGATATCCCCCAACCAATTCTTGGAGGCCGCTGTCATACACACCGATACACACTGGTGGGACCCCTAGCTTAGGTCTGGTTGGAGGATGGGGCTGGGCCCGGCCCCGATAGCACGGAGATCACGGTGGGACACTGCTAAATAATTTATCCTGAGCCTGCGAGGTATGGTGGTCACGATCTTTCCTGTCAATTGTGTAGCTGGCGGTGTTCCAACACTCAGTGTGCATGTAATGCCTAGGGGTAGGTAGGAAACTGTCCGGATCCATTTTGTCAGGTTCGGTACGACTGGACCCTCCAATTGTGTACCTCAGACAGTGGCAGTGGATCCATGGCTTCGTCTAAACCGGGTTTCATGTGGTTTTATGCGACCAGCCCTCACCGTCTCTGTCGTGACAATATAGGAGGCGGTCGGTGTTAAGGAAGACCGGTTGGAGGTAGTTTGTCACCACCTGCTGCACATTCTGAGGTGCTTGGAACCCTAGGAAGACCATGGGCAACCCGTTAGCCACGCTTCCAAGGGTGGCCCTGTCTGAATAAGGTAGGAACGTTTTTGAAGATCATTTGTTCGAAAGCCAATCTTCCATCATTGAAATACAGTAATATGGTGCACAAAGGAAAGTATGTGTTCACCGATGGTTGTGTTCTTGCTTGCTTAGATACAAACATCCTGATGGACGCATCTGTGAGGTTCACACGACATCTTCCCTCAAGCCCAAACCTCACAGTCCTTCCACACGGTGCTCCGTCCCAGCCCGAGAAACCTCACAGTCTCTCCGCTCTGGGAGTCCCAGCTGTCCCAGCCGCTGTCCGAGCGTCCTTGGGAGCGGTAGACGGTGTGTTGTGAAGCGACGAGGTGATGCAAACAGAGATGTTGCAGGCGCGGCAGACGCTGCCCAACGATGTCCTACACGTTGCATTTGTCTTGGATGCCCAACGATGTCCTACACGTTTCACCAATTTCACAGGTAGCTACTGCATGGATCGCTGCAAAGTATGGTACTGCAAAGTGGGCCTCATCCTTCGAGAAGGTGACTGGAAACGCTTTGACCTAGGTGCTAGGAGGGTCCTACAGTTATATACTTCTGAGAAGGGGGCAGTGGATCCCTGGGGATGGTAATGTGTCCGCACTATTCTTTGTACAGCTTATGTTGAATCAGAATGGCAGTCTTTTGATGTGGCTGCCAGTCCTGAAAGTGGTTTTCCAATGCCCGACAATGGATTCAGAGGGTGTCTTTGACTGGAGGGCATCCCGGCAGCACTCAAGGCTTTAGGCTCCCAGTGGCATCCCGGCACCCCTCAAAGTGGTTTTGCAATGACCAAATTGAATGGGATTGTGACGGCAGGCTGTTTGATGGGCCCCTGCCCTCCTGGTCCAGACACGTCATTGCCCTAGGGATCCAAGTACCTTCTCAGAAGGTGTTTGGGGTGGCTTTGGAGGGTCCAAGTGCCTTCTGAGAAGGTACTTGGATCCCTAGGGTTGGTTCGAATCCCGTGCGACCCTGAGGCGGATGTGATCAGCTGCAGTTCGGCCATCAGCGCATGTGAGAAGGGTCTTCAGTGGCGAAAGGCGCTGGAGGCGTGACCGGACGGCGGCGTGACCGTTCGACTTGAAGGATACTCCCCTGCAGATTCACATGGCCTAAAACCACATTGGTTGGTATTCGGAAAAGGCTCTTCCATGGCTCAGCCCATTCTCAGGTTCCATGGGATCGCTTGCGGGGAGCTACTCGCCGCTACTCTCTACTATCACCCTATATATTATAGACCACACCCATTAAACCATGCCCGACCCCTCACCCACTCCGCCGTCCCGTGCCGTCCCTACACCCGCAGGTCTTTGAGTCCATGTGGCGGAGTGCCCTGCGCTTGGACGTGATTTGTTGCAACTCCGCCGCCCGGCGAGCGAGCCCTGCGGAGATCGCCGGAGTCGTTCTGACCAGGGGTGTTCTGGGTGTAGAACTGGTTGTAGAACTGGTGCTTGGAGGATCTGCGAGGGTGTTCTTGTTGATGTTTGTTTTGGTTTTGGGCGGTTTTCGTCAAAGTCATTGGTATTCTATCTAGGGGTGAATCCTCTTGGCATATAGGGGAAGATCGAATATGTTTTTCTCGGCTTCCTAGCATCCAAGTTCTTGCGCGCTCCCTGGCGGTTTTGTTGGGACTCTTCCTAAGCGACCACACGACGGTAACCGGGCCGATCCAGATGGCGGCATTGGGTCAAAGCCGGCAGACCTTGACCACTGAAAAATGAATAGGCGACGTATAGGGGGAAGTCAACCTACCAGGAGTTCCGTGCTCTGGATTTTGACCCACAGCCATGATCTGAAGGGTCTTTGGGGTGTACCCTCCGTGTCACGGACCAGGAATTCAGCACCTGCTTGGTCTTCGGCACATGGTCGTTGGGGAGGGCATGCCACGTAACCATGATCATTTCGCCATCACCTCTTTCTTTGGGGTGCCACAGTGCCACCCCCCATTGAAGTTGATCTCCGCACCCATCCATTTGAGGCCAGGCCAAGGGTGGGGATGTGGCGTGTCACCCGATGAGACCCGACCCCAGGTCCTGAGTGCCTGCGAGAAGTGCGGTCAATGGCCACAAGCCTGGCAGCTCTTCCACACCATGGCCCAGGTGCGCCGAAGGCGTTTCTCACACCTGGGCGACACCGAGGGGTTCGTAGATGGGCACTAGTTTTAGAGGCATAGCAAATCATTGGCCTGATGTCATTGTTGCATGTTTGCATGCACCTGGACATTCCTTCGATGAGAAATTCCTAGTAGTTCTCATCATTG